CCCCGCTTCAGAAATCCCCTGTGAGTGGCTGGGAGCCACTTTCTGTCACAGAAGGGTCCTTGGAGGTGGTCACAGACAAAGGATGGTTTCTTTCCAGGCCTGATGGAAAACCTGCAGCGAGTCTCCCCGAGACCAGCCTTACGATAATAGAGGATGGCGAGGAGGAGAACAGGAGGACCAGCTTGGACAGCGGGGTCAGCGTGGAGGCGAACTCCACGGCAGACAACAGAGGACAACGTCAAGAGAGACAAGAGGACAGCGGCTGTGGGAGCATGGGAAGCCCAGAGATCTCAGCCCACAGTCACACAGATTACCCCATGCAGGATGAAAGCCTGGAAGCGGACGAAGTCAGCAAGAGGGAGGACAGCGGGATGGGCTTGGGCTGCCCACATCATTCCTCTTTCTTGAAACTTGACAGCCAGGACACAAAATCCCTTGTCGAGACAGTCATTGTTGGGAACTACCGCACCCAGAGCCCGTCTGAGATGCAGGTTCAAAGCAGAGATAGCGAGAACATGTTGAAACAGATCCCTGCACACTCACCGCTGGCTGATGTGGTGACGGGATACAAGCCCGGGCCGCTGTCCTGTATCTGTTCGCAAACAGGCCAGTGCAGCTGGTGCCACAGACACGGCAGTTACGGACCCGAAGGAACCAAACTGTGCAGGGCAGTGTGTATCGAAAACGTGCTGCTTGGTGGGACGAGTGACCTGGTGGACTCTAGCAGAGTCGGAAAAACACACATGGACTCTGTTATAACCAATTTGGAAGAGTCGCTTTTACATGTGTCTGACACATTTCCCCTGCTGACGTCAAGATATGAGCAGCACAGCAACATGAACAATGTATCCCTCTCTCTCTGCGACGTTCAGCTGACAACTGACTAATATGGTGTGGAACGCAACGCTATTCACACATGACGTTCACATCACATTGAATATTTTGAAACGGAAGTGAATAGGTTGCGAAATCCTCTGAAAGATTCACCAATCCAGTCGCACTCAGGCGGGGGAAGAGAAAAAATTTAGATTGCAAAACTACTGACTATTAACCATCCCTGATGCTTTGCGAGGTTGTTGATCTGAGAAGTTCTTCAAACCTGCTTCTCTGGGTGTATTGTTGACTGACTGAACTGCACATGCCGGAAATGAAACCGGTACGAGGAGCACTGTGAAAAAAAAAAACAAACTGTTTGACAGTTACTCGCTTCAACATGTCACAATTTCACCTCCTCCGTCTGCGACGCGTCGTCTTTAAAGTTCTTTTTTTCTTTTTAACGGAGAACCACTTCACGTACTCCTGCAGTATTAAATGGAGCAGAAAAAGAAGCAAACATTCATGTCCTTGTTTTCACTGACGTCTTGATAGATCGCTGCTTTTGCCTCGGCCTCATTTGCCTGAGCAAGTAGCCATCCTTGGCTGCATCCTGTTGAGACTATTTATGTTGTGTTTCTAAAAATAAATTTATTTATTTCGTATTTCAGCCTCGACTTGGGTGTGATTAAACCATCTCTTTGGATTCTTCTAGAAAATTCCACCCATACCGTTTTCGGTCGCTGAGTAAACAAATGACACCATTTAAGCAGGAAAACCCTGAAACAAAACATGTACGGGATCCCCAAATGCAGATGAACTACAGGAACCTGTGCTGTGGTTTTTTTTTTTTTACACACTAGGAAACAAACACTTCCTCTGCACATACATCCACTGAGTTTTTTTTTTTTTTTTTTAATCCCAGAGCACAGTTGAATTATTATTTTTTGCCATGGTAAAAAGGAACACATCATAACAGCAGGCCTTATTATTTTTTACAGATACCATTAAAAAAAATCATGTGACCCATTTCTTCTTATGTGCAACGAAGTTAAGAGGAAGTGAGACAATTTTTGGTTTTTCCTCCTAGCTAGGAAAAGCAAACTTTTCTTTTTAAATGATGATTATTACAAGGTATTATAACAAATAGCTCTTGTCTGAATTACCAAAAGCAAAGAGAAATGAATCCTGTCTAGTCTGTCATTTTCTGCTTAATATGTATGTTAACATAGATGTGCATATATGGTACTTTCTAGGTTTTCACACATAGCCACGTCATGAAACTTTATAATTATCTCCCATTGTTTCGAAACAGGAAGGAGACAGTTTCTCTGACTTAAGATGAATGTCTTTTTGTGTAAAATGTGTATATTAAAAATGTATATATATTGAAAACACTGACTGCTGTTAGTAAAAATGCGTAGTGTACTGAAATGGACCAAGCAGCCACTCAGAGAGGAAGAAGTCATTACTCCAAAACCAACATAAAAAGCCAAATTCACTCATTAAAAAAAAAAAAAAAGATATGCCCTGTGATCTAAATTTCAAATATTTGGCCAAAACAACCATAGCAACACATGGAAGAAAATGAGGGGATCTTACAAGCTAGGAAACACCAGCTCCACTTTGAAGTAAGGGTGGCAAAATTACATTGTGTGGGTATTTTCCTACAGGCCAGGGTATTCCACTGGTGCATCAGCCAAGATGTTAAATCTTTGACACTAGTGTGGATTAATTAGAGAGGCTGTAGCAAACCCTCTAGAACACACCTTTGTAGAACTGCACAGAAAACGCAGGAAATCTGCACAGCACCTCACACCAGCTGTCAAGCACAAAGGAAGTGGGTGGTTTGGGCTACCTTGCAACCTCAGAGTCAACCATAAGCTCCTTTTTATTCTAAGATAGTCCAGAATCAAATGTGAAGCCACTTGTGTGACACAGTGAGAGCTTAGTTGAAACATGATCATCAGCACGACAAACACAGCAGCAAATCTTAAGCAGTGTAGGGGATAATCAAGGTATTGCAACAGCCTACTCACAATGAGAACCTCAACGAGGGTGAAATGCTGTGGCAGAAACTAAAGACAGCTGTGAAACTACAGAAACAAATGCCCGGAAACCTCAGCGAAGTGAGATGATGTTTTTAAGAAGAGTGGGCAACAATTCTTCCACAGCAATGTGGGAGACTGATTAAGTCATACAGAGACTAACAACGTCAAGTCACGGTGACTACAGAGTCGGCTCTACAAGTTGTTGAATCATGGTTAGCTTTTGGATGTTATCAACGCCTGATAAACAACTAGAACTGAATGTGGTGCGCATTTTCTTTTTTTAAAAGGTGGAATCAATGAATTGTAGCGAAGCTCATTTAATTCTTGTGAGGATGTCATGACTTCAGAAGGTTAAGAAATGACAAAGCAAAATGAAAAAAAAGTGTTATGTCCCTTGTATTGCAATTTAAAAGGCTGTAAGAAAACACACTTTATGACCAGTGACAACCCACAAGTCATTTGTCATGATGCTGGTTATGCTTGGGTCTCTTTCCATCATTGTACCTGTTATGGAGTGAAAACCATACACTTTTCTAACAAACAAGCTACTTTAGCTGAGAACATTCCTATGTGTGTGTGAGGAGATGGTGCCAGATGTCATTTCATTCAGTTGGTTCCTAACGGGGCAGCATCCTGCAGACCAGCCAGGGTTCCCATGCTGGTGTCTTTATACCACTGAAAGTGCCAACAATGGATGCAACAATGGACATCAGAATGTGATCTGGACCATGAAGCAATGGAAGAAGGTGGTCGGTTCTGAAGACAGATGCCGTCCTTTTTTTGTTCGTTTGTTTGTTTTTACGTCACACAGGTGCCGATGAGGAAAGAGGACTGCTAACCTGAGGAACTTCTGGCAGCAAAATCCAACCCAGTAGAGACAGTGTGTACCCTTGGCGTTTTAGCTTAAGGACTTGAAATATACAGTCGGTATTGTTCCCAGAGACTGTGTTGGTAGTTATTTATTTAGAAACACAAGGCACATTTACCATTGTTAAATTATACAAGTGTTTGCAACAAATCAAAAAGTGAACCACGCATGATCACTTGGCTTTCTAGCTAACTTGAGCATGCATCTCTTCATTCATGCATACCCAATTACCACTGACTGCAAGCTGATCTGCTTGGGTTGTTGCAGCTTATGTGCAAATGCATTTTTATTTTTAGAACAGTGCAAATTACTAGTGCTACAAATATGTAAAATGACCTTCCACTCTAATACAGAACAGAGTAACGCCATCACATAAACATAACAACAAAGAACCATTAAAGTACAAATACATTTACACATAATTTTGTTTCCTCGTATCCAGTTCTGCATACTCTTGCATGGGATTTTCTGGTGTCAATGAATGCTTATAGTGTATTTAAATAAGGACTGTTTCATAATGAATTTTGGTGCATTGTCACTCAACTGTTGGCAAGTAACAGACTCATCTGACTTTTCTAACTCCATCTTAATCTTCTTAAAGATGAAGACATCTTTAATCTTAAAAAAACAATATTAAAAATCTTTAATTTTTGTCCTCTGACCGCCTTTTCACTCTCTTCTTGCCACCTGCCATTTTTCTTTTCTTTCATCCTCAGTCTTGACCATATCTGGGCATAAACCCGAGCTAAAATATTTTAAAAATAAGATTAAAAAGTTAATTTAGGCCTTCACAGATGTTAAACTTGAGTAGAGAACAAAACGCCACCAAAAACAAGCTAAAATACAGCATGTCTTAATTTTTTGTCTAAGTAGGGCGCACAGGTAACCTAATGAATATAATCACACAGGTATGCACATCTAATAGAAACATACTACAACTTAATAATTCTTTGTTTTTAACTTCACTTAAATTCAAAAACAACTCAATCCTCTCCTCTTTATATTTTCTGCATCTTTCTAATATTGCAGGAAAAGCTGAGTTTAATTTATACCTGGGTCTGGGAATATAAGATATGAGCAAGCTTTTGTCAAACGTTTCTTGAAGGATGACCAAAGGAAAATAGTTTTAAAGGCAATTCTGCCAAATCCCAAGGAATGGTGTGTAAAGCTTTGGGTTGGCAAAATAATTGTCTGCAAGTTCCTCTTTCAATTGTAACGTCTTCTTTTTATACATTGTTGAACTAATTGCTTGATTTTTAAAAAATCTGTTTTTGAGAGCCTTTTTATTGTTTTCAGCTGATGTAATAAGATTGACAAACCTTCAACAATAAATCACTCAAATATTCCATTCAATTTTTATACAGACATCAGGCATGTGCTATATACAACCAAAACCACTGATTCAGAATCATTTTAGTATGAAGCCATCACCATGTAGGTTTCTCTTTTATGAATTAGGGACTCAAGCCAACACATAAAATGTCAGAAATGAACAATAACATATATTTTAGCCTTATTCAAAACCTTTGGAGTAATGTTTTGAGACCTCAAGAGCATAAATGATTGTTTTTTTCACTCAACGCGATAGGCAACATCAAGTTACCCCACTGCAAACCGTTTTGAGGAAAAGAAAATCGTTAGCAAACAACTTCTAGTTTCATTAGAGGAAAAACAGTGAGACATTGTAGTTCCACTAACCACTGAAAGTTTCAGATGGGCGGTAGACATGTGAATTTGGAGGGAAGTCACCCGCAGTTTATAAGAAAACTGATGTACCTGGTTCCTGTGGCTGGGTTGGTGAGATAATCTTCCCTTTCCCTCAGACAGTCACTATCAGCAGTGAACTCTTGTCTCTTGTCCTCTCAGTTTCTCTGACTGAGCATAACTGACTTATCACGAGACAACTCATGCTGTCGGTTTCTAGTGACACAAATCAAAACTGGCTAAGTTAAATTGCACCACAATATCTATTTACAGATGGATTAATTGCTTTATGTGTGCTCTACAATCAGAAGAGACAGCGTTGGTTTTAAATTAGCAACTGGAATACTTTTGCTTCAAGAAAAAAAAAGGAATTAAAGGAAGCTTTAACACAGTTATGCAAAGTTACCTATGCAGGAGGTACAAAGCAGAACAACGTACAAAAATTAAGGTGCAATCAAATAACATCTTAAGTCTAACTACACAAACGGCATCCTTAAGCTTCATGCAGCTTATGGATGTGAAAAATGAGGTGGGCTCCTTCCATTGTGTCGGGAGTTTTCCGGATGCCACAGACTTGTTATTTTATGGAGCCGCTGATTGTGAAGGGAGGTTTCGACTTTTTCAAGCCAACTTTGCTGTAAAGTCGAAACACAGCAATGTTGAGATGCAAAACCGCAAAGCAATTTTAAATGAGGAAATAAAACTTGCATATATGGCTTTGAAAGAAAGGCAGAGCAGAAGAATATACTTACGTGAGCATTCTGTCTTTCACTGTTGGCTCTGCAAAGAAGGAAGAAACATAATGGAAAATGTTTTCAGCAACAAAGGATGACTGTAGTTGTTTTGCTTCCGTGAGTATAAAGTTGCATGCTGGTTTTGGGGATTTAAATATTGATCCAAAAATAAGTCAAAACCCACTTTCCCTTTCTGATTCGACTCTGGAAAGTGGCAAAAAGCAGGGAGACGAGAATACTGCGAGCCCCTTATTCTGTTGCATTGCTCTATCAGAAAAAAAAGATGCCTACAAGGTTGATTTAACTTAAAGTATTGCATTTCATGCATCATGTGCTAAATGGTGTTGCTTAAGTGGTCTTTAGCTGTATTTTGTATGCGGTGTGTGATGTGCGAGATGCTGTAGCGCAAGTATTCGTTTTTATCTTACTTTTTTTCTTGCAGCACTTTTTCAACTTTTTGCATTTATGCTTGCAGCAGAATTGCACGATGCCAATAGTAAAGAGGATTGCCAGGATCCCAAATCCCACCAGGACCCCAACCGTTGCCGAGTTCACGTTGCTTCCTGTGAACACAAACACAGGTGGCCTCAGACTGGTTAACTTTCAGATATCCTCTGAAGCGTGTCAGAAACAAACAAGTAAAAAAATACATGCTGCACGAGTGGTAGCTGAGTGTTTTAGATCTTACGTCTTTCATTACTGGCGTTAATTTTGACAAGATGAAGTAGACCGCCTGGGTTTAATATAACCAGTTTATACATATTTGTTATTAATGGATACTTTCTTTATTAAGAGAGAAAAACTTCTGTGGAAAGACAAAAACTAGGTTTCGAGTCCCTCACCCCAACATCATAAAAAGGCAATACATTTTAAAAAACAACAACTTGCAATGAATGTAAAGCTAAATGTTTGTTTAAAATCCCAGCGGTGCCAGAATGTCTCGCTTGGCTGTAAGACTTAATGATACAGAACTGAATCTTTCTTAAAAGCAGGATTCTTACCACTATTCCCCATGCCCGTCAAGCCGCAATGACCGCTGCTACCCCGTGTCTTTCTTCTCTTCCCCTCTTCCTGCCTGCCGGAGTCGAGTTCTGTCACCCGCTTCTTTGACTCGACATCAGATTTTCAGGAGATCATTTCATCCTGGATCTAAAGAGCCAAAATGGAGAGCTCTCTTTTCTTTCTGCTTTTGCCTACGTCTTCTTGTCATGTCCCCATACCAGACATTCCTTCAAACCGGTCCATCTCCTTTGCTTGTCCTGCCTACGATTCACCCTTCCTTCATTAGCAAACTTTTAAGTGATTCTAATGGCCTGTTGTTGTCATTGTTATGCTTTTATAAAAGCTTGTTCTGGAGTACACTGATACTGTGGTGGAAGCCTTTTTTGGGGGTTTTTTTTGCGCCTGTTTTGAAGAAACCCCAAACGTGAATCAAAACCAGAAACATCAAGGAAAACAGCTGTACTCTTTAATCGTATACATGAAGGTAGGTGTCAACACCTGTTCTGACAGATGACGTGGCACTCTAACAGGATAACTACATTGTCGCTCCTTCTCATGGCGAAACCAAATTCAAAACAAATACACATGACTCAGAAAGAAACATTAGTACTTTTTACACTGACTAAAAAGTACACCAAGCAATGACTTCAAGCAAAAAAGTCCCAAATTCACTTGTATCCAAAACACATAACTGTATGGATGATTTATCTTATTATTCTTAACACAGTGTGGCATTTTCAAGATAAACTGGCATTCGTTTTCACTGCAAATTAATGTTGTTGTAATACAATGCCTTGCAAAATCATGCACACACCTCAAACTTTTCCCCATGGTGTCGTGTTACAACCACATATTTCATCAGAGCTTACTCGGATTTTAATGACAGAGCAACTCTAAGTAGTGCTTAGTTCAGTCATTACCTTCCTAATCAACTCCAGTCTATGATAATCTCCCTTCAGTGCTTCATCTGGGCTTTCTCTCATTGACTTGGATTTTTCCAGTAGGATTTCAACCGGGCCAATCAGCGGACAGGAAGAGATCAATGTTCTGTGCCGTTTTATAGTTGTAGTCTGCCTGTAGCTTTAGCAAGGACAGAGGAGGAAGTGAACAATGTTGTTCAGTTTGTGTTGGCTGCTCTTCCAAAGAATTTAATTAGCATCAACAGCCATCTTGTTTTCTCATCTTGGCATTTCTCTCTTCGCAGGGGGGATTGTTGTTTACAGAGCAGGCAATTTTTCATAGCGTCAAACTGATGCATTATATCAAGGAGAAACTTTAGTGATTGGGTAAAATTTAAAACATCCGAGTCCACGTCTCCAGCAAACAATCGTCCAGACCCCATGTACGAAGCAAAGCATACGAAAAGGGACTATTCCCCCCCCCCCCCCCCCCCCATTTTTTTTTTTTTTTACAGCATTGCTGTAAAATGCTGTAAGGAAAGTTTGGGAAACCAAAACTTTCCCTCCCCCAAAGTTTAAATTATTTTACAAATAAAAATCTGAACATTTTGGTATGCATTTGTATTCAGCCTTCATTAAATGTGTAATTAGCCAATTGTCTTTAGAGTCCACCTCACTAGTAAGGACTAAACTACACGTGTGTGTCATTCAGTCTCGATATAAATGCGAAGGCCACAACAGCCGCGACCTTCACAGCCGTTTTGTGAAGGTCACAGAGGTTTGCTAGAGTTGACAAAATGAGAAAAAGTTGAAGTTTCACAAGCTTTTCAAGGCACTGGTGAAGTTCAGGAGTGCAGCCATCTGTGTTAGAGGAAATCCTCTGAGGTTTATCCCCCAAACCATTTCACCTTACAAAGTCATGTCCTCAACAATATTACACAAATTCTAACTTAACTTAAAAATAAAAGGTATTTAAGCAAACTCCCCTGTTCACTTTACCTATGCTAACACATAGTTCTGAAAGCAGTGAAAGTTTTGGGATTCATTTTGAAAGTTTGTCTCCATAACTTTCTCTTATGACTTATTAAGGCTGTAACAGCTGCTAGGCTACATCGTCCTATATCACATCATATTGTGTGAATATGTCTGAACATGTTTGAAAGCACGTGTCAGTCATCAAGAAAGCGTCTATCTGTACCGTGTGGTTGAGAGTTTCCTGTTATTTAAGTTTGGTGAGTAAGTCTGTCTCTGACATCATGGGCTCAACTGCAAAAACACTAAATGTCACATCTGAGGATAAAGCAAAACATTTTTTATCTTACTCTGACTTGTATAAGAATATAAAATGTTGCTCATGCAAGCTTAAGTACTTTGACTTAAATACTTTTATCAGAGAAATAAACCGACTTCCAATTTTTCCCCCCATATAGGGCATGTTTATGTCGCATACTGAACTGTGTCTTTTCCAAATTCTGAGAGGAAAATTTGAAAATGTATATTGATCCAGCTCCACATCAAAACAGCCATGACACGTCATCTGTCTGAGGCAAAAGTTCAAAAGACATTTGATTACACAAAAAGCAGGGTGCTCAATTCAGGCACATGCAAACCAGGAGGAAGTTGTGTCTGTGGGTTCTGGCCCTGGCAGATGAATCGTTCATAAGTGGAATTGTTGTACTCATTTGGGGCCACGTTCAGTGGGGGTTTTTTTTTGTAACTGCAGAGAAAAAGTTGCACGTATTCATCTGAATGATGTGCGACAGTACAATTTGGATTCTCTGTTCAGGACTGAATATTAAACTGAGTGAAAATAAATATAATCAAATATGTCATTGTTACTATTTTAAAAACTGACAGACAAAAGTGGATTTAGATTTTTTTTTGACCCCATCAGTCAGACAACAAAAAAAAAAAGTTGTGACCCCAGATTATTATTATACCAATATACAATCTATGTGTCAGTTTGGAAATGTCTGCCAAAGCATGCCAGTCATAAAGTTGATGTGAGGCTGTACACATCTCCAGTCATTTTTTTTTTTAATTGATGCACCTGAAGCTCCGAGGGGAAAAGAGTGTGCACCACATTTTCATAACCACCCCGTTGTACATGAGGCCTCTGGAGAAGATCAGTTGAGATCAGTCAGATATGGATGAGGAGGAAGGAGGAAGCCTACAAACATGTCCCAACTCCCTTTATTCCCAAAGCAGTAGAAAGAAAAAGACAGACAACTCAGTCACAGGTATGACAATGTCTGTTTTACTCAGTGCCTGTGCAAAAGTCTGATTGACAGATGTTACCTTGAATATTTTTAGTTCCACAGGTTTTATGGGAACACGCCTTGTGGAGCATCAAGCCATTGGAGCGCAGCTAAGAATGTGGAAATGGTTTTCTGCTGGCAGGCCTTATCACGCTACATAACTCATTTAACAAGAAAAGGAGAACCAATGACTTCCATTTGCAGAGAAATCGTATACTCTAACTAGTGAGAGTTCTTGAGGACAAGCGGTAAACCTTAGTTTTAATGAGACAGTATTATGTGTTTTCCAGGCACATAGAGCAGTTTTATACCACAATCAAGTAGCTATGTTAACTACAGTTGTTATAAAAATGCTATCAAATATGATAAAATAATCTTTACTTCCTAGTCACACCTTGAAACTGGCCCTCGATCTCTTTAAAAACTTCTCTTTTTAAAACAACAGTTTTACAACGTTGCACTGAGAAGCAGCTCGTTCCGCCAGGTGTTTGCCAATTACTGCAGGCTAGTCTGAAGAGGAGTGGGGGAGTTGTGATAGAGGCGGGAGCTCGGGAATTGCAGCTCTAAGGAGCAGCTACGCCTTGAAGACACCGCTCGGTCCAACCTGGCATTCTGCATAGCTGAATGGTTGCCATGGAGGTTAAAGGATTTCTGTAACGAGCATGAAAGAATGAAGGCAACACTACAGGTATTTTTTTAATGAGGGAATAAGCAATATTATGACACGATGTAAAGCTCAAAAAAAGCCAATATTACATAGTACTGCATCTTTAGCAATTTCAACACTTTGTACAGGCTCTGCAAAAGGTGACCCACACTGACAGGTGTACAGCACAGAGGTCATGTTAGACTTTTTTGTTTTCCGTCATTTTGATTGACGGCACTAAAAATTTTCCATCCTGATATTTTATCTGCCAATTTTTAAAAGACATCGACATGGGCCATTCAGTATGGAGCTACCTCCATTTAACGTCCATGCGGTTTAATCCATGTTCAACAAATTGAACAGAAAATTCAGATCCCATCACACAATCAATTAACTGCATCTCGCCAACAATGAAACTAAGTGATTAAACTTAAATTATGAGCGCTGCCAACTTCCTCCTGACCCGCATCTGGAAGAAAAATCTGCACTGAAGTTTAGATCAAAAACAAATCCAACCCGACCCGACCGAGTCCATAGGCATCGTGTCCGAGCCAGATGCAACCCGACTGATTAACTTTGATCAGACTCCCATGCCTTACGTAAACCCGACATATTATTTTTATTAGGATTTCACTGCGTTTTGATTTTACACCATTGGAGTAAGCGGCGCAACGTCTCCCAGATTTTGTTCAACATCTTCCAGCTCCATTTTGTCGCTTGTTGTAACGCAGGATGAGTCAAGTGCAAATCTTCTGAGATGATTTATTTTAGTCATGCAGCGCACTGCACTTAAGGTCTAATTAACTCTCTTTAACAAGGTACACCGTCTACTCCTCCATTTAAATAATAAATGGACACAACATTCTCATAAAGAGAACATGGCATTTGAACCAGACGTCCTCCAAAGCGTCCTGCCCATAATGTGCTGTCAGCTCTTAGTCAGTAGGCTACATTTAATTCAGTGTCCATGTCAGAGACGATATTCATAATGGATTTATTTTTACAAACTCTGTGCGTAAAGTTGGAAGTGTCTGCACATCTGCAACAAGTGTAGTCAGGGGTGTGAATTGTAATCTGTCAAAATGATGGACGGGCTTCAGATTTTTCCATTGATTGAAAAAACCTTCTATCCTATCCTTTTATCATGTGACTTTATCAGTATGTAAAAACCTTACTGGCTCCATACCCTAAAGTTAGATCAGTGGCAACCACAGAAAACACATTCCTCTGTTTCAATGTGTTATTGAAGTAAAAAAACAAAAATACTGTCAGTATGGAAAAGCACATTGTGCTCTTCAACATATCTCCTTTATTTGGCTCTTATTTTCTTCTCAAACTAATCATGTCATGTTTAGCAAGTGAAACTCATTTGCAAAATATAAATGTAGGCAGTGCGTGCAAATGTCGATATTTCCGTTGAATATAGCAAGTGTGGCCAGCTGGATGGAGTTATGCACCGTCCATCATGCTTTGCATAGTGAATTTCCCTTCTATCATGCGACAAGTCAAAGATTATATTAGTTCAGATTTTGTAATGCATCTACTTATTCACATACGTGTATCACGTCAACAAACAACATTGTTCTTCAGTTTGTTTGTTTTTGTCCAAAGCTGTGAATAGTGTTTTAAAGTGTATTCTGATATCCACTGAACTATTTATGTCAAATGAATATTGTCACCTTCACTTTAATAAAATTTCTGAAAACTAGTTTCTTTCTCTTATTGTCACGTTATCAGCTGTAGACAGACGGGTAAAGAAAATCACCCCTGCCTTTTTGTTCACACTTACAGGAAGCACAAGTAGAGGGTTTTACAGGAAAAAAAAAAATCTTTATCTTATTTCAAGGTAGCAAGTTTCCAGTTTTTCCAGTAAAACCCCACAAGGAAATGACAGGGAAATGTAACTGATCCTTTTCACAAATACTAGGGAAATTTTAGCTTATAAGGCTGCCAGGCTTCACTATGAGATATCACATATCCCTCTGCTATTATTCATGAATCGTTATTGCTGGATTCACCCGTCTTTGGATAAATAGTGAGTAGCATATTTCACATTTCTGAGCAGGGGTTAACAGCTTTTCTTATACTGTAAATCCACCCATTCAGCAAGAAGTGGCGTGACACGCCCTTTACAAGATTAGAACAGGAAAAACAGTCCCAAGGCTTTTTGTAAAACCTCCACAACTAAATCCCTGTATAAAACAATAACATAAAATGAGTTTTAATGAATCCAAAGAGGAACTAACTTTAATTTAAAAAATAGGTCAAGCAATTTGCTTGACCTATTTTTTTTTTTTTAAAGTGTTTACATTGTGGAAACACGACATATGGGTCAATACTTGACCATGGAGATAAGATTTTTTTTTTTTTTCAAATCACACTTCCCACAAGGTGTCTAAAGCCCAATATCAAGTTTCACAAAATTTACGCCTAAGTGCATAAACAAAGGATAAAACTCCTCCATTGGCAGTGGGGAGAGGGAGGGTTGAGAGGGCTGATTGTGTGTGTTCAAGGATGTAGTGAGAGAGAGAGAGAGAGAGAGAGAGAGAGTGTGTGTGTTTGCTTTGCAGGAAGAGGAGGGCGGAGTGGTGGGATGAAGAAACATTGGAGGGTAGTTGCTGGTTGAAGCTATAAATGCCAGTTTTGAAGGTCCTCAGAGGAAAAGAAAAGACATTCTCCAACAGGAACTATTGATCTCTGTCCAATTTTCTTGATACTTTTTGGATTCTATATCCACCAGCACCTACAGAATAAAAAAAAAAAAATCTTCCGTGGCAGGTGAGCATAAACTGTAATGATGATTGTGTAAAGGTAATTACTAAGATGTTTTAAATTGCTTCCTCCTTCATTTCCAAATTCAAACCTAAACTTGGTTTGATATTGCAAAGTTAATTGTCTGCGTGTGTTTCATCAATGATGGAATAATTATGGAGAAGAGCAGAAAGAATGGCATGTGGACTGTGACAGGTTTGAGTCTGACAACTCAAACTTTGGTCTCTTTCTGTCAAACTTTAACTGTTTATTTGCTTTTCTGATCAGAATGACTAAACTGTTCACACGGAAATAACCTTCAGTGAGTGTTTTGTAATTCGTTTTAAAGGGTACTGTTTGTTCTCCTTGAATGTAAATCTGATAGTTATGAAAAGCTAACAAATAAATCTGAATGCCATTTGAAAAATAAATCCGATGAGGCAAGTATAAGGTATGAACACACACACATATATATATATATATATATACATATATATATATATGTATATATATATATGTATATATATATATATACATATATATATATATACATATATATATATATGACTCTATACAACCTCTCTTTTTCTTTTTTCTCTTGCCTTGCTTTTGAAAACTTGATTTTACTATTATCCTAGGCAGCATGGTTTTTGTCGCTGTTGTTCTTGTCCTCTGCTGACCGCTACGCTAAAGTCGCGTTTCACGCGCGCGCACAGGGGGATTTCAGTAAATATGGATGTCTGCTTTTTGGTCCAGGAGTGGAAGCATTTAACTTTTACTGCCAAATACAAGGCAAGGTGAAGATACCATTCATTTAATTGTGGCTGTGGACTCCTACATATATTTTTTATTATTAATAAAACAATTTATTTCGTGTCGGGGGAGCCTTTGGAATTGTACTAATCGTTCCCCAGTTTATGCACACAAAATGGAGAAAAGCTGCGTGGAACCATGCAGGACCTGCTTGGAGTCCCCTACAGCGGACAGGGGCAGACAAACAAAATGCTACGTCATTTGATCTAAACTCTAAGTCGCATATTGATCTCCTGGACTCAGGCAAACACATCAAAACAGAACCACTCATTCCACTGGGGTGGAGCTCTGATGCATCGTGGAAACTGCGTGACAGAATAACAACTGGATTAACAGAAGCTGTTTTGCAGAGATCGAGTGTGAACTTTGCTGTTAAAAAACGTAAATCAGCCTAGAAGCGATTCATTTCTGAGAGATATCCGGAAGAACTTTTGTTTTAGTTACAAAAACTGTATTCATCCAGGCTTTCATAGTGCAGGCTCACAGCTACGATCACACCGAGGTTGCTTGTACGAGAATGATTTATGAGTCAGCAGGTGCGAGAGGTGGAAGTTTTCTAGGTGAGGAAATACTGGAAGTGAGTATCCAGTATCTGAGATCAGTAAAGACTATCTGCTACTGTTTGCAACAAAGGCTCATTCTCTTCTGCCGTCCTGGTCACTCACTTCTCAAACGTCCAACCTAGATTCCTCCCCCCTCTATCCGGTTGCCTGCGGTTGTTTTCCTATAATATTCTCACTGGATTAACTCAAATAAAAGAGTGACCAGAAATGTGACATGTGTCCCTGAAAGGCAATTAAACTCTTTGAAAGCGGTGTAACAGTTTGTTATGAACTCAGTCTTGGCAGTCTGATATGTGTGGCTCTTTAGGCCACTTAATAGGTTTAAAACTGAAAAACTAAGCAGGGATTCTCGATTTGAATCCTTAAGTGTAGCCAGTTTTGTTTATTTGGATGGAAATATAAGTCTGGTGTAAGAGTCTTAAATAGCTACTTCTATAAAAAGAGTTTCATAAAAATTAGGAAATAATCAGAAAAACAGAATATAAAGTTGCTATTACATGTGCTCTACAAATGAATAAAAATAAGTAAAACAATTAATTATTTTAGTTAATCTGCTCTAAAAAAAAGATATACCTGTATACAGTAATAAATATTACATTTATTCAAGAATTAACACATTTTCTTCATTAAAAAAAGGGCTCACAGTTAGAGAAATAAATGTGAGCCCAAGCTTAAAGTTATAAATTTAAAGTTATACATAACCATCACATACAATACATTTACCCGGTCGTTTACGAACATCTCTCAAAAGTTCACCTGACTCGGGTCTGTGAGTCAGGGTGACTGACTGATACCAGCTGAGCGTATTACTGTCAAAACAAAGCAAGCGGCCACGCCTAAGCAACAGCGTGCAGTTGCAGACATGTTTTGCATTTAAGCAACGTGCTGCTTTTTAAATGTATAATAGTTTATGTCAATTCAGAGAATCCTGACTAATAAGCATCAAAGAAAAGAATACACGTAAAAATATAAGACCTCGTTAAAAGTAAAATGCTGGAGGTGTTTTTTTGAAGTTGTCAGTTAAGAGGAGGAGGGACGACACGGTGGAAACGCAGGTGGGACGGTTAAAGTGTCGAGTTACCTGGATTTAGTTTTGCTCTGTCAGAAGAACTCGGGCTATTAGGAAAGAAGCTCCTTTCTGAACTGCGCAGCAACAACACTCGGCTCCGTACACCGGCACGTTTTAACACAGCTTTGGGATCACGGAGGTGGAGGTCAGGCGTCCTTCAAGCTAGATTCAGTTACGCAGGTGTAGATTGATTAGGGTAGGGAGACCAGTTCAGGACCGCTCCTGGTTTTCCTGCTAAAACCCAGTGGAGGAAAAAAAAAAAAAAAAAGTGACAAAAGGCAGAAGAAGGAGAATATAGAGGACAGCAGCTGCTGAGGAAAGGGCCAGTGGTACGGTATTTACCGAAAAGGACAAGTTCATCATGGGGGTGAGTATAGCATACACGGCTGTTCATTTGTTTTTTTTTAAAGGCAGCCGTCTAGCAGTTGTAATTGATCTGACTATTTGACCGCATCCCTGAAACAAGCTTGAAAACACTGCAAAATTAAATGTGGTGACTTCTTAGGTTGAATCATATCAGTAAGTTTCTGTAGTGTAGTTGGGTAAAAACTACACTACACTACACTACTGTGTTCAGCTGAGAAAAATGGCCATTTGAGAAGCTATGCAGGAGAATGGAGAGCTGAGGGCTGCAATATATATATATATATATATATATATATATATCTAATAGAGAACTGCCAAGGTTTTCAAATGACCCAGTTATACTTGCTTTTGTTAAAGCTGGATAGCTTCCCAAAAAACTCTAACTAAACTATCTATTGGATTAATATGACTTAAAAAAAAGAATAGAGATTTGTGTGTGACTCACAGACAGGCTTGTCAGTCGTTGTGTTATTTTAAGATGTTGCCTTACAAAATGTGTCGAGTGTGTCATGAAATTTCGGGGAACAAAAACAACCCACTGCTCTCAGAAATCGTTTGTTCAATTCCCAGTGTTCTACAGCTATGTTTCTGGTTTCCCAGGTTGTCATGACTAGTTTCATCCCCTCCGTATTCTCGATACTCAGACTTTATGGCACACTTTCAGGTGTTGGTGACCCAGTTTCCTGTTATAATTTGTTTGTTTGTTTGATCGAAACCAGGAAAAGAAACTCATCGAGATGAAAAATCTTATTTCCGAAAACTGTTCTGGGCTGTACACCCGCAACGTTTCTTAACATGACATTGATTTCTTGATAAGTGTTTCATTGTTCGAATGTATTGATATTTATTGATGATGTTTTTTTCTAAAACTAGATTGAAGTTCCTAATACAACGAGACTTTATTTTTGTTCCTAAACATCAATGTTTTAAGGAAATCAGCCATCTTCGATGCATTACAACAAAAAAAAAACAACTAATTGACAAGGTTGTAATGTAAAAAAGAAGAGAATTAAAAGTACGATAAAATAACTCTGACTGGAAAATTCCTCACACAAATATTTGAGATGTGTATAAAGTCGTCTTCACTTTATACACGTGACCATTTCTGCTGCAAAATGCCTCAAAGGGTCTTATCAACAAAACCTGCTGTGACAGAATATAATGTACAAAAAACCTGTTCAGCAACATTCTCTGTCTGTATATCTGAGTGAGCTTTTTCTGCGTCTTGTAACAAACAAATCTACATGTAGGTCAATGACAGGTCTTTCGAATGTCTTTGTGCTGTAAATATGATTGCAGTCTAAAGGCTCTGTCAAAAGGGGCAAAGCGAATAGTTCCTTAAATCATCTGTTTGCACATTATGTGCTAAAAATGATTAATGAGACTCTGAGAAGTTGATTGCCAGAGAACAAATTCTACCTTTTTGTGAGAAACAGCCTTGAAATAAATTCGTATTTGATTGCTGCAACATAATCTCCTAACAGTATCTCCTAACAGCAAACTTGTGGAAGTAGTTGTTGTTTTCCTTTTAAATTCCCCTTTTTCTAATATAATATTTTACGATCATTTTACTTGTAAGCGCAAACTTACTTCCATGTTTTTAAGACGAGCTCAAAATGAGCTGTACTTTATTTGTGCATTAGACTTTTGTTGTCTTTTCAGTGTTGACACTTCCTTATCACCCAACAGACACGGAGCACTCAACATCGATTAAACAGGATTGTATGTCGGTTTGTGCAGCTGCAGAGCTCTGAACTTTACCGACATATAATTGGATTCAAATGAATTTCCAATTCTCAGAAGCGATAGCCGTAGGACATCTTCGTGATGAGTGAAGCCATGACTAAGTGTGTATACATCTTAGAAATTCACAAAATATTTTACATGATTCTTTATACATAGAATCCATATATGGAAAAACAGGAAAGACAAACGATCGTGCAATAGTGCTACCTTCAAGGCTCCGTCAGAGAAAAACTAAAATTAGTTAATGCTGCCTGATAAAACATGAATTGTTCTCATGTTATGAATAATTAAGTCGATTTGAAGAATAACTACATTCGAAATCGACTCCTGTATTTTTTTTTAACAAATTGAAAAACGCAATGATTGCTTTAAAAGGGAGTGGTGCTGGAGAGCATTGTTGTTTGGCCAACAATGGTTACCACCACGGTGACACAGGCTTCATTCAGTGCTTTGCATAAAAGAGGGCCTCACATGCAAATATGCTACTTCTAATAAGATCACACCCAACTCAACCATTTATCAAATTAAGAACATCAAGGACAGAGCTGCTTTTCAGAAAGTTTCAGGCCGCCCGAGGAAGTGACGCACCGGGAATTTCATTACCGCCAGTGAAAAGCTTGCTAGGGAACGGCAGTGGATGGGTATCAGTGATTCTGCAAGCAGACGCATCTTTGCCTGGTCTCAAGACAGGCAGCGAAGAATTTATCTGCAATGTAATAAAAAAAAATAAAACCAGAACACCTAGGACAGACTGAGTCCAGAAACTCATGCGATGTTCAAAGGTGAAAATCGACATGTCAAAAGAAATCCTCAGATTGAAAGAACTGAGAACCCTGAAGCTGTAAAGTTTGTTTCAGCCTCTAAACTTGGCTTGGATTGTGGAGTCAGCTGTAGCGAACTTGTTGAAACTCCCTTCAGAGCTCATCGATCTCATCTACAGATCTTGCATCGGGCTGTACAGATGTTCAGAAGCACCTCAATAGTTGCTGGGCAACACACTGTAGATTGGATAAAGGCTCATGTTATTTATAGCGCCAACATTACAAACATTGTAGAGATCTAGAATAACATAAATGCCTTTCTTATGGTTAATTACAGTTTTTTTTTTTTTTTTATCCTTCAGTCAAACCCGCCCGGCTAGAATGGTGCAATATTTTAGCTTAATTGGTTACAACAGTCTAAGCATGACCGGAAAAGCAAAGTTTTCCACTTTTGAGAGCAAAAAGTGGAGAATTTCACCAATGGGAAGATAAAATTTCACTCCATTTACCTCCTAATAGTTTGTTTAATTGCCCCCATAAAATGTCTCCATTCTCAGAGTTACATGAAGATCAAAACTAAGACATTAAAATCTAACATATATGTATCATTTGCTTGCTTCCTGCTAAAGATCAGTTGATGGGATCTTATCACATCCCAGTAACTGTTCACCTGATAAAAACCATATCCAGAAGCTACGTATTCATGTTGGGAGCCAGTCAAAAGGGTTTCTTTGTTCAGCTAATCTAATGACAGTTTGTTTTTGTTTCTTCATACGATATTTGATTTGCTGAAACCTCAGTCAGCGAAGCTACCATTTAGCTTTCATAAAACAACTAAAGATGGGTGTGTCATCCAAAAAGGTTGGGCATTTTTTCTGCTCTAGGGTATATAATTTCTAGTAGAAATTTTCTACTAAAAAAAACCTGGACTCTAGATCTTTGCAGCCAGAACTTTCATAGCTGAGTAGAGCAGCTGAAGGATTTTGATATTAACAATTCATTAATAGTAATAGTATGGTAACTATTGGTTGCCATACAAATAATGCTAAAATGTTACCTTAGCTTTCCAGGTGTCAGTCCAGTAAATGGTTGTTTAGATGCATTTCAGTAATTTGCATATTTAGTTTTAAACTGATTTAGGTACAATATCAGAATCACTGAACAAGTGTGTGTGTGTGTGTGTGTGTGTGTGCGTGTGTGTGGTCAGATGCAGAAAGATAAACATTTCAAAAGGTGAACAGTGTGCAGGTTCTAGTCAACATGTCTAATTTGTGACAAAAATATAGTTGGTGATTTTATAACATTTTGACTTCATTTAACCAGAAAAACTGAATGAGATCAAGAGAAGAGTTCCCAGGTCCATGTCCCATCGACAAGTCTGCAACCTGCAACTCCAGAACTACAATTGGATCTGTGGCTTACTAAAAATATTAATCGATAAAATATTAACCTGTACGGGCCTCTATGTCACTGCAAACATGTTTTGTGTGCTGGAGCAGAAACACATCTGAAATGACATCCCTAGGGGGGATTAGGGTTTGGCACTAAATCTACCAGTCTTAAGCTTTTGTTCTTGCCAACTTACTGTGACAATCTTTAACAATAAAAAAACATTCTCAGCTTGGTTTGTTTAAGCAGGTGCACATCTGCATAATTGGTCGAGTACACCATGTACAGACTTGCAGGGTCGATGCTATTGTGTTGCTGTTCTCCACCTATGCCTTTTAACAACAAACATCAAGTGCCAAAAGCCCTCATCCTGTGGCTCCTGTGGTCGAAGATGCAGCTCGACATCGATTTGCATCAGTGTCGCCTTTTTTTCCCACAATGTGTTGCAGACAAACAGCTCAGTCATCACAGCTAATAGACTTTGCAGTTTGGTTGGATGACATTTGTAGAGTAAGACATTAACGCATTGGTAAACATTGAAATGACATCATAACGTCCACATTTTTTGGTTTTTTTCTACTGATGTTTCTTTTCGGTCATTACGACTCTCCCTCTCTGAGCTTTGGTATCCCAGCAACCAAGTCTGAACAGGTGTTGGGAGTAAACGTCTTTTTTCTACTGCTCAAATATCGGCAGGCAGAGTTTGAATGCATGACGTTTTGATCCAAGCCAACCAAGCATTGCATCCGTCCAAGCAGTTCTTGGTGATTTCAATTTTTCACTGAATGTTGATTTTTTTTTCATATATATATATATATATATATATATATATATATAAATAAAATAAAGGGAACATTTCACTTTAATTTTGTGTGTGGCTCCAAATCCAGGCCTCCATTGGTTAATAAATTTGATTTCCATTGAGATCTAGGATGTGTTATTTGAGTGTTCCCTTTATTTTTTTGAGCAATGTATATATATATATATATATATATATATTGCAGCTCTGCTTTGCAGCACATGCACTGCGGAACCTGCAGTGTTCTTTTGAGTGTGAGGTTGGACTGATCTGATTGCATCTAATAGAAAACCAGAAAATGACACTGTGGTAATTTGACAACTCATCTTTGTGCAAAAAAAAAAAAAAATGTTCCATGTATCGTGGTTTTGCACCTATAAACACACCATAGCTGTCTTGCTTTCTTTTCTGTTCTTGACAGTTTTTGAAGAAAGGCTTTCAGTCATCCTTTCTTATATAATTTAATTATAATTAAATTTTATAATTTTAAGTATAATTTTTCCTAAGTTAAACTTCATGCTTTGTACCCAAGGCTAGACTTCAGCAAGGGTATTTTAAGTAAATAACCAACTATTTGAAAATTATAACAGCCAAGCAACTTGGTGGTAATAAAAGTCAGGCTTCACATATTTTGCACATTTCACTGACTGCTGTTTTGCTAGATGCAAACATGAATATTTATATTATTTGGATCGAAAACCTCCTTTCAAATGAACGGCTAGATTTTTATTTTTTTTATTTTACCAATGTAAACTTGCAAAAATGAATCAACAATTACAAAACGGTTTTGATTGTTCCAATTCTAATTAAGGATTTTCCATTAAAAAGGTCATAAACACTTTTTATTCAAATGTAGTGTTTTTTTTTTTGTTTTTTTTGATACCCGTTGTATAGTGGCTTATCTTTTGCAGGTTGCCTGTGTCTTTATTAGGAACAAATGTCTAAGCTGAATTAAAAACTGTTAAAAGTCTGAATCTCGCAGATGTGGGAATAATTTTGGGCTTAGCTGTAATTTCAATCTGCCGTAAACTGCGTGCTTAAAGAGAACGTTTACAGGTAGAGCACTGAAACCGGGCCACACGTCCTCTGAAATCTGGCCCTGGTTTCACAGACACCTGTTGCTCATATGATGTCTGTTGTCTTCTGTCCTCAGGCATCTCAGACATCCTTTCAGGAAGCAGCGGATATCGACATACCACTTAATCCAAATATGCCAAGTAAGTGAAGAGTCCATCTCTGGTTGTTTTGCAGTAACAGATCAAATGTGGGCTCAGGAAGCTAAAACATTTGAAACTGCAGGGAAAAACTGTTGAATCCCAGTCAAGAGGTCCTTTTCTGGCTCCTTTACAAGTCCTAGATCAGGCCCTTTCAGCTCCAGTCCTCAATGGCCAGTTGTCCAGGGGTGTTTAGATGTGTCCCTGGTCCAACACATCTGCATCAAATGGCTGATTGACCTCCTCAGTATGCAGTGGATGACTGGAGTCGAAGATCACTGTTCTTGATTATATTTCATTTTTCTGTCTTTGATATTCAGATTTATTAATTTATTTACTTTGCTTTTTTGCAGATGCTCAACAAAAACCCATGGCGAACTCAAAACCTCAAGCAGCAAAGATGTCAAGGACAAAGAAAATAATCTGGATTCTGATGGCAGTTGTGATTTTGGCCATATTGGTCATTGCAGGATATTTTAGTAAGTCCCCAATTCCCGATAACATTACACGTTATGAATGTTGTTTTTTGAGGATAGCAAACGAGTTTGCTATTTTAAACGAGACTTTCCTTTGCACTTCAGCAGAACAAATGTTTCTATGTGAATAATAATTTCCAGGATTTAACGTCACACATTTCTAACCCATGTTCTGCTCTACCGTTCTCACATGTGCCTCCTCTCCCCTCCAGTTAAGAAGCTAATTGAAACCCATTACTACTACTGCACACGCTCGGCGAAGTTCATCCCACTCGCTAAATCCTGTGATGGGCACGCTGATTGCTATGATGCAGAGGATGAGGCTTATTGTACGTCAGAATTCAAAGCAAACAGCACATTCCCAGGTACGACAGAAACACCCGACACGTTCACATATTATCCTGTAAGCAAAACTAGAGCTTGGAAGCGAAATCGTGACTTTTTTTCCCCCCCTTTTCATCCTCTCAGTGCGTCTAATTTCCGCTGCTAGTGTCCTCCAAGTGTTCAATGGCAAAACGTGGAGAACCGTCTGCAACGACGACTGGACCGCACAGCACACCGAGACTGCTTGCAAACAACTAGGATACACAAAGTGAGTTTTAACGGTAGTACGACTGAAGAAACTGGTTGTTTGGTCTTGGGTTACACAGAGCCTCCCCTTTCTCCTTTACTCTCCGTGAACAGATCCCCAACAAGCAAAAGTGTCGACGTTAGCACTTTGCAGTATTCTTTAAAAACTGGACCATTCGCAGCAGTCTGGAGTGGGAGTGGAAGCACACCAGTACATCAGGCAACCACTGACCGGTGAGAACAACACAGTTTTCCTCATGTTTTTTTTTTTTTTTTTAAAAAGGAAGAAAAAAGTCGTGTTTGTTTGTGGCACTTGCAGGGAGGATTTATGGCCAAATTGAGGTTTCAAGCCATCTGAGCAGGCCAAAAGATCTCCCTATTAAAAAACAAAACAAACGAAAGTTAACATACTATAAATATTAATCTGCTATTACTGTACAAAAACTTCCCTTCACTCCACTTTTCTTTTTGACTCTTGTTGTCTTTTCTTTACAAAGTTTCTGTTCCTGTAAGGCACTGTAACGCATAAAAAAAAGTCCAGTTTTTGTTCCTCAAAAGCATTTTCTACTAAACTGAACAAACAGGTGCTTTACCCCGACAAAACGGAACAAAAACTGAGGCATAGTTCAACATGGGCTAAAGTTAGAGAAGCAGGGGAAAGATTATTCCTACACGTCCATCATTTAAGTTGCTTTCGGTTACATTAGCATACACCGCTCTTGGCTTATCACCCTTTCTTTTTTTGTACAAACAGCAGCGTGTGCCGCACTGGATCTGTGGTCTCTTTGAAGTGCTCAGGTGAGTTCTGGTTTTAGAAAACCCAGTGTGTCGTCGTGTGACTGCATTGTTTCCAGGGTTTTCATGACATTAAATGGGTTTCAGTGGAGATGAGCATTAGAGGTGACAAGTTTCACACATGCAGGCCTAAGCAACCCCTAGAAAGTCATAACACATTGTGTTCATTCCTGCTGCTAGGATACTAAGAGTTCACATCGCCCCGTCTGCCATCAATCTTTATAGATATTGTTTTTCTTGCATCTACGCCTCTGTTATTTTATCCATTGGTATTAATACTATAAAACTGCCCTCTTGTTCCTCTATATGTTACATACTTTTAATATGCACCTTTATCAAACACATAATACGAAGTATTACAAGATGAACATTTGTGATCACTATGTGATAATTTGTCAACCTTATGATGTAAAATTAAGCACTGTTGGAGAGCAGGACAAAAAATTATTTGCTAGTGGGTGTTGTCGTTAAAAACTGTTTATCCTAAAAATTGCTGTATTGGTCAGATTGTGGACAGGTGAACAGTGTGGATCGCATCGTTGGTGGCGTGGATGCCAATATAGAGGATTATCCCTGGCAAGTCAGCCTGCATAATGGCGGGCACAGGTGTGGAGGCTCACTGGTGTCAGCACGCTGGATTGTCACTGCCGCCCACTGCTTCACGTTAGTAAAATCACAGCCGTTTTTCTTGTGGATTTTGGTTTGCCATGAAATATTAAACCCCCTTCCTCCTGTCTCTCTCTCTCTCTCTTTCTCCCTACTTTATTCTCGGGCCCCTGCAGCAATAACAAAGAGGTGAGCCGGTGGACAGTGATGTCAGGAGAGACATTCATGTCCGCATTTGGAACCTCCTCTGTGGACAAGATCATAATCCATGATCAATACGATGCAGATAGAAACGACTACGACTTGGCAATGATGAGGCTGAGCAGCCCGATCTCAGTGGGAGGTTAGACTTTAACGCTGTACACCTAAAAACACGCAAAATCTGAACATGTTCAGAAATCTCTTAAAGGTCACCTGACCTTTAAGAGATTTCTGAACATTTATCAAGAGCCCTTTACTGACATCTAGTGTTCAGTGTTTTAAACTGCAATGTAATTTTAAATTTAAATCAACAAAGCTGATAATTTTTTTTTTTTTTGACAGCTTCTCTGTAGAGATTCTTACGCATTCTGGTGATGGTAATCGTACATGTTTGAAAAGCAGCTAATTCAACTCGCCTTTGTAACTTTCTTAATGTTCAGACAAACGCAAGCCGGTGTGTCTCCCACCTAAAGACCTCCCCGTTCCTGACAAGGCTCCTGTGGTTGTCACAGGCTGGGGATTGCTGAGAGAAAATGGTGAGACTCTTACGTGAACCAAGGGAGGAAAAACAAACAAACAAACAAAAAAGTTTTGCTTTGGTAATCTAACGCTACAGCAGATTTGTTTTACCTTTTCAGGGAAAACTGCAACTAGACTGCAAAAGGCCAATATCGAGATTATCAGTCGAAACACATGTTCCGGTATTTATGGATCCTTACTATCGCAAAGGATGATCTGTGCTGGCACCTTGACGGGAGGCGTGGATTCCTGCCAGGTAGTCGGGGGGGTCAATTTAAATGCATAAATTGAGTTTCTTGACAATTCATTACTGTTCTGTTCTTGCAAATGTTTTTTTTTTTTTTTAATACTGAGCCATTTGTGTTGTGATTAAAACTGCAGGGCGACAGCGGAGGCCCCTTGGTGTACCTTTCCTCCTCCAGTCAGTGGAATCTGGTGGGAGTGGTGAGCTGGGGAGAAGGCTGCGCTCGGCAAAACCGGCCTGGCGTCTACAGCAACGTGGATGACATGCTCAGCTGGATCTATGCAGTCATTGAGGTACTGCACGCAAACAAAGGAAGCTCCATTTTTGCAAGCTTCAATTACATCAGTTTTTTCTTCTTTTTATTTTTTTTTTTTTTCAGAAAAACTCATGATGTTCCACTGTGACTGGAGCCACTACATGGATTTCAGGTATTTTTACCCGAGACAGACTGTGAAGCTCAAAGTTCTTGTTTTAGCACTGCTGTATGGAAATAAGAGGACTTTTGGGGGAGAAGAGCGGAATATGCACATTTGCTGTTAATGAAACACTTGCATTATGCCTGTGCCACAGAAGTATGGATGCAGACATATTCATTTTCGCAGATTGTGCCATTATGTCTGCATTTACCTCAGGGAACGTGTTTTTTTTTCTTTTCTTTCTGTTGCCTAATTAAGGTTTCAAAAAGTATTGTAGCTTTTATTTTTTCTGTCTTTAATCTGGAAGCACTTTTTGGCAAAACAAGCCAGTCAGAGCAGATGCAGTGACGTGGGTTTTTATGCAATAATGGATGCTTTTATGGTGCTGGATTTGTGACCTTTCTCTCCACTTAACACCTAGTAATGTAATTGTAAAAAATAGCATTTCATTGTATCACAGTGACTCATGTCACGTTATGGATTCTTTAAAAGTGCAGGTCAAAATTTTTTGCCTTTCCATGTAAATTAAATGTTGTTGCTGTTAACATTTATTTGGTTTTAACATATACTTGTAAATAGTCTGTAAATATGATAAATTTTTTCTCACCTTGGAGGCTGTTGTGTTGAAGTGCAAATAAAACTGGGAAATTAACGTCTTTCATTTTGTTCTCGTCTGCTTCACACGTGTGAACAAACCACTGCAACAAAGTATTTAACCATTCAATATTAGTTTATTCCTATTATTAAGATGTTTTTGATTAACTGGGAAACATTTTAATGAAATTCCAATCTCCAGTAAAATGTATTAGTTTCTATACATTTGACAACACATCAAGTTTCAATTGACGTTACTTCTGGGGTCAAACTGATTCTCAGGATATCTAGTTGACTATAACCAACTGGAAATCAGGAATGAAAACCTTGGCAGTGATTTTAAACATCTTGCACAAATGTATGTAATTTTATATGAAAACTCTTTATTTGTCCATATTTAGAAAGGGCAGTGAAAAAAAAAAAAAAAAAGATTCACATCAGCAGGAGCCCTCCGGGAAATGGAAAGCAAACAAGAAGGTGCAAACTTGACATTTTCTAAACTCCTCTGCTCAAACTCTTCAAACTGATGCTCCATTATTTCACCCCATGCAGTTTTGGCTGTAAAACTGAGTTAATCATTGTCATCATTTAAGAAGACAGAAGAACATTGCAGGAACACACACACACACTTTGAACTAAACACAACTGATGGATGTGCTTATCTTCTTGAACCACGGCTGTGGCCTTTGAACGGGTTGTCCTGGTTTCATCCATATGAAAACAAATAAGATAAAAGAGCCAAGATTAGTTTGTATGCTGCAAAATAAAAAGAGGTAAATGTGGAGAGTAATCTAACTTCCCATATTTCTTCATACCTCCTCATCACGGTCATCAAAAGCAACTCCTCGAGAAGTCTGACTCTGACTCTGAGAACCGAACTTGGGGAAGGACGACGATGATGACGATGATGATCTGTGTTTGACAGGAACAGAATTCAGCTTCGAGACCGGAGGAAAAGCGACATGCACCTGTGGCTTTTCTCTGCTAAATGTTAGCTTAGCACAAACCTTGGAGGCGGCCTGGTAGCTTTCATTACGGGTATATCTTCGTCTGAGTCATCTATGATCACCTGAAGACGGTCGAACAGCACGGAGAGGAATTATGTATTACGTTTATGAAGGTTGCAGGAATATTTTCCATGTGACAGGTAAGCTCTAGAATTTATTTTTTGACTTAATTAGTCGCTTGAGTTTTTAGCCAGGTTATAACTTCCCATTTCATGATGTTTTCTTTTTTTTTATCATTCTTTTTTTTAATTTTCATTTGACAATTTCTACAGTCCGAGCCCGACACCGAAACAAAATTCGGGCCAGGTCAGACCAAAATTATTTGCTCGATGGTCAGGTTATCTCGGGCTTCTGTGGCGAGTTTCAAAAGCCCATAAAACATTCAGTAAAGAATAGACCAGATGTAAATGCACAATATAAAGTCGTGTTAATCTACTTAATAATTGATTTGGTAGTTTATCATGATGAGGAAAGAAAGACAGTAATGTGCAGATGTTTGTTAGACTGTAAAACATGCAGCTCCGCCCTGCTCTGCTCCCATCAATCACACATCCCAGATAATTTGCAGATGAGTCACCCTGCGGTTACAAGTGACAAAACTGAGCTGGAAGTTGCTAAACAAAATCTAAAGTTACACTGGTTACTCAAATTACACTCTAAAAACAAGAGCAGTGAAATCTTAATTGAAGCAATATGTCGGGGTTGACTTCAGGCTCGCACCTGTAATTAAAGTTAATTACTTATGATAAGTTAATTACTTGGGTCAGACTAGACTTGGACACTGGACATTTTTTTTTTTTTTGTCCCGATATAAACTCTAAAATTAGTAGAGTTGAGACATAAGCAACAAAGAAATGTTGAAATCCATTGAAGTTGGTGAATAAAGCAAAAATCTCAACGGACGCTTATTCGTTAATTTACCTCTTCGGCTGCAGAAGAAGTGGATCTTTGGGACGTAGCCTGAAAAGCTGAGAAATGGGAAGAGATAAAAGACATAGCATTGAGAAAATAGGAAATAATCTAAAATATTCCAGCGGATTATTCTTAAGGAATGAAGCGTCCCCTCTACCCTGAAATATGTTTCTGGTTTGAGATGCTGGTGCTGATCTCTGGGAACGACCCCGACCGGCCGGCTTTGCTTCTGAAGCAGCAGAACCTGGACAGAACAAAGAACATAAGATTTACTGAGACAAAAAAAACCACACACACACATCTGCAACGCAGAATTAGATGGAAAGTTCTTCACGACAATTTGGGTAAGCGCTTTATTAAAAGAACAAAAAAGACTCTCACTGCAGGACTCCAGTGCTGGTTTATTTGTTTACCACTTTATGCAACTCGGGTGACCTTTCAAGGCCTGAGGCTCTGAATTTGACTGTGCAGAACTGTCCCGGTCGGCCCACGCCCAGATTCCGGCCTGAATGACGTACCGAGGGCACATTTGCAAAAAATTCCAGTGGGTTTGCATATTCAAATCCAGAAATCAGAAACTAGCTTTCTTTCCGGCTACGTGGACTTCTTCAGTAAATTAGGCCCGACATAAATACAGAACAAATTGGCAGCAACTGCTATAGTTCACTGAATGCCTGGTGAATAACTAGCAGAAAGGTCTCTACCTGTATGAAAACAGTGAGCAGAAGGTATTAGATATCGTTATTAATGCCAGACTTCATAGGTCTGATAAAAATAGGTCCTGTTACGAATTTGACTGGATGGCAGCAGCCATTTATCTCAAGGTCACATGGTAGCTGAATTTAGAGAGAGTAACAACAAATAAAATTAAATCACAAACCAATATGGTTATGAGCACGGCTGGTTTAGGCTAGATTTACTTTATTAACATGAGGTAAGTCCTCCGATTTGCAGAGATACGTTAATGGTGAAAGGTGCAACTTGCCATACTGGTGTGAAACGAGAATAAAGTTGGATTTTAGTTCAATAAAGTCAAGCTAATTTTGTTCAATTTGAACAAAACTTAACTTTCTATTTTTATTTGACTGACATGAACATCTTGAGTAGAAGCCGTGTCTCTTTAAATGTCTTTGCTGTATTTAGATGTGTTTAAGTTTTAATTGTTGAAACCCTAGAACTGACAAACAAAACACTGCATCTGACAAAAGCACCTCCTGACCTCCACGTGGGACCCTCACCTCTCCCTCTACCCCCGCCCCGACTTCCTCGCCCTCGACCGCCTCCTCGTCCTCTGCCTCGGCTCGGAGCAGGAAGCGACCCCGAGTCCTCGTCGGAGTCCATGGTGGCGTCTGCGGGCCCGTCCGACAAATCGAGGTCACCGCGCTCCATCCGGTGGGCTCTGGCTCGGTTGATGGCCTGAGACACAAACGCAAAGTGAACCACAAGCTCTTCACGTCGTCTGAAAAAGCCCGGTTGGTATTCTACCCTACTTCTTTGATGTCGTCCTCTTCTTCAGTCGTATTCTTCTTGGAGTCCCTGAATTTCTGAATCTGAAAAAAAAAATATATATATCCGTTAACCACCTGTGACAGCGCCGCACGACGCGACGGTTTGCTCTCCGGTTGCCCGTCTTGCCTCTGCATCGATATCTTGCTCTGTGGTCACTCCTCTGCTCTGAAGATGCCGCTGCGTCTTCTCCAGCTGGTAGGTGATGAGCTCCTCGATGGCGTCCTTCTCGTCTTTGTCCACGAACTCCTGGATGGCTTTCCCCATGCCCTGCTCGGTCAGAAGGGACAGCTGCACCTTCTGTGAAGACACAGTGACGACATCGGACGAAGCGCTGGGAAAAAACGAAATCCTGCGAGTGACGTCAGCATTTCATTTAATGTTTACACACCTGCTCAGCCGCTTCAAAGTACTGCTTAACCAGGTCCTCCACTCTCAGTCCCTCAACAGCAGTGGGTTTTACTAGCTTGCTGTAGTCGACATTGAACTCGTCTAAAATTTGCAATAAATAATGAATACATAAAACAAATAACGCATTCTTAACGTATAAAATATCTGGATGTCTTACGAAAGAACCCACTAACGATATATATAAAAAAAGCAAGACTGATTATTTCCTAATTTTGTTTCAAATTTAATTAACTTGATTTTATCCAATATGGTTCCAGTCAGAGGTTTAGAAACTAATCATTCGCATGAATGTCATTATTTCTTGGATTTTAAGCCGTTGACGTCCACATTTTTTTTTTTTGTATGTAAAATTGTCAAATTGGGTTCCCGTGCCTTCATTTGGCAACATTTCATATTTTGTAAAATGAACTGAGACAACTGGGTTTTCCAACAAGGTAACAATCCCAGAGAGATAAAGAAGGTCAACATCAAGCTTTTGGGAATGACTGTGACATTAATACTCTGGAAAAAGGAAAGCAGAGATGCATCCATAAAAGAATAAAATTCCTCAATTTATGCCCGATGAGTGGATTCAAAAAGAAAAAGTCAGCAGAAACGTATTTAGGCGAAGTCCGACCTTTGACGCCCTCCTTTTGCTCACGCTTTCTGAAGAAGTGGATTATATCTTTTGGGTTAGCCACGCGGTCCACAAACTTCTGACTGAAGCGAGAGGTGTTGAACGTTTCAAAACCTCCGCTGTAGTCCACCTGGAGACAAGAACAAGGGGAATTCACTCGCTGACGAGCGCTGACGTAAAGATGAGTGCCGAACTCAGCTCACCCTCAGTCGGATTAAAGGTTTCTCCGGCGTGAGCGGACAGCCGAGTCTTTCCCTCTCGGCTTCCTCTAACATCTCAGAGACCTGCGTATGGACAAGAAGGAAAAGATTAACAGAGGCGGATGGAGTGAAATCTTAAACCAGTGCAGTGCATTTTAAGACGAACGTCGCTTACCTTTGCAAAGCACAAGTTCTCCACCTTCTTTGTAACCTGAGGAGTATCAGGCGTGAAGAGGTCCTCGTAGTCGGCCAGCACGACATCCTGGATGAAGAACTGACGGACTGTCTTCAAAGGGATCTTCTGCATGTTCATTTTACGACCTTTGACTCTAAGCAGTCCTATATGCCTAAGTGAGCACAACGGCAGAGGCTTGAAAACTGCAGCTGTTCAAAATACAATAAAAAATTTCCTGCAGTGTGTGTGTGTGTGTGTTTACTTCTTGGTGGCCTCTCCAGGCGACAGGGACGTGGCTACAGAGCTTCCTGGCTGCGTCACGTAGAAAAGCTGCTGCTCGTTTCTCTTTGGAGTAATCAAACACTCGTGTTCATGGCCCCAAACAACCAGGTCGATGAAATCATCCAGGAACTGCTCAGGAATGTAGTTTGTGGGACCGTGTTTACTCCTAAACAGAAAAATGGCACAAATACTGCTCATTTTGAAAACAACGCATTACCTTTATGATAATAAATAACATGAGAGAAAAAAAGCAGAAATAACGTATTTCTCAATTGGCCACTCCTTCTTAAAACAGTTTGACGTTGCTTTTCAATATGGCCGCTCCTCGCATAAACGGTAGTAGGATAAGGTGAAAACATGTTCATTATACAAGACGCACATTTAAGCAATAAATTCAATATTGCATGTTAATATAAACTCAACTAATCAAAGGTGGTGCTTGCTTATGCAAGATAAGGCTGTGAACCTGATCTGACAGGCCTGGTAGTAAAGAAACACATAATCAGAGAAGCAGCCATAGGGCCCATGGTAACCCGTAGTAACTTTTAGAAACAGATGCATATATAAATATGTTCTTTACACATTTGTTAAAACCATCACAATGTTGTGACAAGATGGTATGAGACAGATAATTTGTGAAAGAAAAAAAAAATTCAAGCTCCTCTGCCTTCTTACAGTGCTAACTACAGATATACACTGCTGGGTCAGAAACAACCAATCACAGCCAGGAGGAGGGCCTCAGCACTGTCAATCACTCTCACGTACGCACTGTTCACACTCTCCACCTTTCTCTCTGCTGCAGCTGGTTCACTACAACACCCTGCCATTAATGCTTAGTTAGCATGTCTCTCAGGATCACCTTTCGGTGATATAACCCTGAGAGACAATGGAATAGTTTAGGTTAAAGGCTGCACACATGTTAGAATGGCCCAGTTAAAGTTCAAACCTAAAATACTGACTATAGATTTTAGTAGAAGGGGCTGAATAGAAACACAAAATGTTGTAAATTATCTTACGTGTCACTAAATTACTTTTTAGCTTGAGTATTTTTGCAAGGCATTGTATTTGTTCCAATACAAATTCTACCAACTAAATTAAAACTGTTCACATCACTCATGTCTGAGGACACACCTGTTCTGGTGAATCGCAAAGAGGTTAAACCAATTATCTTGATCCTCTTTGGGTCGAAGCATGGTGACCTGCTTGTTGACAAACATCCTGTACAGGCGCTCATCCGGGATCGAACCTTAACAGGCATTCATACAAAATTTAGGTACAAAGCAGATGAGAATTTAACAAATAGGAACCAATGGGAAACCCAAACCTACCAAGACCGTACAGGGCCAGCTTGGTGCTGCCTTTCTGCAAGAGGATTGGACTAATCTCTATCATCTCCACAGAGTGAGAGTGACCAAAGTGATTGACGAGACCAGACGCGCTCAGCAGGTCCAGCGCACACAAACCTTCCGCCTTGAAATAAAAGACGTTTTAAGGATGAACACACAGATAAACGAAAGAAAATATATTACTCAGGATTCATTTGTATTTGATGTACTCATCGTTTTTCAAGCAGAAGGAACTCACCCCGGTTGGATCGTCGTGGTTGCCATGAATACTGAAGACAGGGATGGAAATGTTCAGGTTTTCATCCTGATAGTTCACCCAGGGGAACCTGCAACACAACGATTCATTCATTCGGTACATATGCAACACTGATGGAAAACCCCGAGAGGCAGGCAACAGCAAAAAAAAAAAAAAAAAAAACAAAAAAAAAAAACAAAACTGACTGTGTTGTGTTGAAGTTAATGGTCTGGTCGCTGAGGATGTTGAAGGTCACCGGCGAGTCGCCCATGCAGTATTTCCTCAGCATAGTGATGCAGCTGTGCAGGCATCGTCTTGACGGCTTGTTCTCGTGAAACAAATCCCCACCCAGCAGGATGAAATCTACCTACAGCAAAATAAATTAAAAATAAATCAGGCAGCAGAGAAAAAAAAAAATTATTCAGACAAAACAAGATGGAAATATTGACTTCCGCACCAGATCGCGGCAACTCGCACACACCTGATTCTCCTTGGCACATTCCAGGATTTCGTTCAGTGTGTTGAAGGAGTCACTGCCACGAATCGCGTCTTTCTCAAGGTAACCGAGGTGAATATCAGTGGAAATCAGGATCTTGAATGTATCCTCATCATCCCTGGAAAAGTGAAAACAAAATGTGATGATAAATACAGCTTTGATCTTTAAGAGAGGCACAATACAATCAACTGTCCACTGTTGCTTGTAGAGGCAGCATCCAGAAGTTGAAAAATTTGACTAAACTTGACTAAACTTGAATGCATTATTTAGTTTAAATCCGTCAGCATGATTGTAGTCTATATACATTGGATGTCCTATTTGTTTTTTTGTTAAGTTCCTTGAGACAACATCTGTCGGAGCTGTATGAATAAATTTAATTTGTACTTTGCCACCTTTAATTTGATACCAACAGATGACCAGTGCAAAGAGGTTTGAAGCATAAAAGTGATAAAGGAATGATCTGTAAATAGAAAGAGTATGATCTAACTAAAATGTGGTGGAGATGCATTTTGCAGAAAGGAAAAGGGAAACTGGATGGAAAACTTACAATGTGTTTTCTGAAGACATGACGACACAAGAGGCTCTATTCGAAAGCTGGCACGTTAACAAATGGCTCCCCTGTAGAGAACAGAACAGAGACAAGTAGATTATAGACATGCGAAACGATTCTCAGAAATCCAGTTGTATATAAGCATCCTGCTTCTTAAGACCTCCTCTGTTCATTCAAATCCCACGATTTCTTTCAACTTTTCTAACTTTTTTTTCTTTTATAACCATCAGTCATAAAGTAAAACATAGTGCCTACGTTATTATCTTTTTTTATTTATCTTTTTAAAGAAAGCCTGATTTTTGTCAAATGAAATTACTTCCGGAAAGAATAGCTATAGCGAATAGCTTCTAAAACATAGCTATTCAGTGTTGTATGGACTAACACCGTGCTAATTAACAACTACAGTGGCGGCCATGGCTAATAGAAGCGTGTAACTCTATGGTAATTTAGCATGGGGATAGTAAAGTTAGCATTTTTAAAAATCCCATGGTGCAATGCACCAGCTTTCTTTGCATGGAAGCTAGCTTTAGTTAACATTTAATATGTATGCGTAACATTGGCTTGATAAGTACACAAAACATATAAAACACAGATGAAACTGTAAGTCTTACCACCAACCTCCCATGAAGTCTCTATTTACCCTGAAAATCCCGGTAACTCTTGCAAAACGTCATTTCCCCCCTTTAGAATGCTCACGGTTATTGTAGTTTTTATTCTTGGCGATCACAAGCTCCATCTACAACAATCTCCGAGGATGAGAACTACATTTCCGCAAAAATAGTGGGTCGCTTGGTTTATCCGTGTAGGAGCGCCGCTGAACCTTCTCCTCGCGTATTAAACTGTATAGACATTGAAGAATAGACGCCGCAAAGCATATTTGATACTTGACGTTCGCTTTATTGACAACGGTATTTTTGTTGGAAGGCATACAAAAACAGTGTAATATAATGTTCACACACAGATGTTTCACGCACTTTGTGTGTGAACACGACACACAAAGTAGAGTAATGTAAAATCCAACTTTCATTTTTTAAAGAAATTAATATAATTGCTGTACATTAAGCTCGCGGTTCTGAATTACAAATAGTATTTTAATGGTGGTCTGATATATTCTCACTTTAAACATTTTCATTACATTAGCAAAAGGAAATAATAATACAGAATAGCAGAAAAATACACTGCTAATCATTTTCTTGAAATTGTCTGGATGTCCAAATGAAACTACACAGTTGAGAAAAGTAATACTTTCAGCGGTGAACAAATAAATACATTTAAATGCATTTAAAGCACAATGTGTAATTATGCAATAGTTAAAATAATACAAAAACAACAGCATATACTACTACTACTACTACTACTACTACTACTAATAATAATAATAATAATAATAATAATAATAATAATAATAAATTAAAATCACATACAAGAATTTACTACTACTGCTTGCAAAACACGATATAAAATTTAATCCGATGTGCACTTACATTAATTCCTTAATTCGGCGAATTAAATTCCAAGTCTGCAGCGTTTATGAGATGAAGTTGCCACTCACAAAATGGCGGAAGAACTGACGTATCGTTTCTACGGGGCAACGCGACGTCTATTGTCTACGTCTATGTTAGTCCAGCTGAGCGTCGTGTATAACGGGCCAAGCCGGACTTGGTATCATTCGAACACTAAGGAGAGTCTACTCTTTGCGTTTTTTTTTTTCTCCCACACAATATATTTGCACAGAGAGGCTGCACAAAAAGCGGAGCTTGGCTAGCTTGTCATAATTAAAAAGGGCCTTGCTTGATAAATTTTAAAATCAAATCTTATGGTTTACACCCTTAGATTGGGCGGACAGCATCGGCTGTGCATCAATGGAGATACTTTCAAAAAGACCCGCAGCAGAATCCTATCGCTATAAGGTAGCTCTACTCTTTTGTATCATTTAACTTGAAAGAATTTGAACTTGTTCGTTGTCGGTTATGTGTGTACTAGCCAAACTGCTAGCAGTGGTTGCTACATTCTCAAAACAGCACCTTGCTAAGCTTAAAAGTATATGTTTAAATAAACTTATTTTTAGTTTAGTCGTAAATCTAAACGCTTATCGTACTTTTTTTGTGACGTTCTTTTAATTGCAAGCTTTTATTAACTGATACAAAGCTTCTCATTGACATTTTCGAGATGTTCTTGATTCTGTTTCTCTGCAGGCATCGCGTTCTTCTCCAGCACCTAGCAGGATGGTGTCCGACACTTTCTCCCTGTCGTCTTATAAAACCTATCCTGCTAATCGATGTTCCGTCAACACTCCTGCACGTCACACGCCCCAAACATTCACTCGGCATTCATATCGTCCAGCATCACCCAGCAAAGCTTTTCCAGAGAGCAGTAGTGCAGGTAACTCGTGTGTTGGCAAAGTTTCCATTCAAACAACGTGTCAGAGCTCCATGGTTACACGTGCAACATGATGCCACACTACTTGAATGTCTCAGCCGCAACAGCATCCTTTAATTCCTGCTGATTTTATTCTGTTAATTATACTATTGCAGCGATCTTATCTGCCTTGAGGAACCTCCAAGAGAAGATTAGGAGGCTGGAGCTTGAGAAAGAGCGAGCAGAGTTGAGCCTTTGCACTTTATTGAAGGATGGACGTCTGCAAAGTGACAGCCCCGTGCAAAGACTCCTTACTGAGGAGGATGAGGACATAGACAGAAAAACAAGTGAGCAGTCAAACCATAAAGAAGGTAAGAAATGGCCTTTGAATAGAATTGAAGTTTTAAATTCTGCATGTTAATTCATTACATATTTTGCCCTTCATTTGCAGTGCTGATCACCCACCTTGCTGCTGCAGAGAATCGTTGTGAGAAGCTGGAAGGACAGCTGGAGCAGATGAAGAGGATGTTGCCCAGGACAGAAAGGACCAGCTCGCCCAACCAGGAGGTGAACTCAGTGGTATGGATGTTCTTGAAGAGTTGGCTAACACCTCATGCTTTAAAATCCACAAAACATTGTAAAGCGAAGAACAAAGCTACTTGTTGCCTTTGTAGGCTTTAACAGAGAGACCTGGTACAAGTGGTCAGCAGCCTGATGGAGTGAGCGAGCTTGCTCAGTTGGAAAAGCTGGAAAAACTTGAGCAGGAATATCTCAGGCTGACTCGCACACAGGAAAATGCAGCGGTACGTACAAGGATCAAACATGTTTTGTTTTTTTAGCAAAATGAAGCTATCAACCATTTTTAGCGTCATCCTCCAAAACAGCAGATACATCGCTCCCAACTTCCTCCGCTTCTGTGTCCTCTGCCAGGCGCGGAGCTATACGGGGGGCTGGGGGGGCTGCTGCCCCCCAAACCGGCCGGATGGGGGCCCGGGCCTGGAGGTGCCAGGGAGGGAGGAATGGTTTCAAGTCATTGAAATATGTGATTATAGACAGAGAAAGTGCGCCCTCGCCTGTTGAGAAGGGTGTATTTAATGTTAAATAATCCCCCCCCACCCAAACAGTTTCAGTTTCACTCTATGTAAGGGTCCCGTGATTCCTTAGGGGCCCGTGATTGGTTAGGGGCCCGGTAATTGGCCCCGCCCCCCGGCCCTACGCTGACTTGTTCGCTAGTGTCCTCAGTTGTTTATTTTTTAACTTACCCTGATTACGTCACAAGATGGCACCGTTGTTTGACCCACTTACTACAGACAAAATCTGCAACGCTAATATTTATTAAAAGGTTTTGTTTACACAGGATGAACGCACAATAGTTCCATCTTTTTCAGTCGTGTGGTTTATTTTTATTTTTATGTCGGTGACACTTTAAACTTATGCATTGTCCCCAATCTAATTGGAAGGCTGTATTTTTTTAGATATCAACAAACCAACCGAATTTTAAGTCAATCTCACAGAAATGCTTTCTGGAGTCTTATATTTTCAGATAGACTGGTAAAAAAAAATGGAGTTCACAGTAACCATGTATAAAATGCATAGTATAATGTTGGTGTCATATTATTATTGTAATATTGTTATTATCAGCAGCAGCACAGTGATGATGACTGTCGCTGATTTCAGGTGAAGATCGGCGCGTTGGAAAGAAAGATACAAGAAGAGGAGCACCACAGAAGGCTCATTCAGGATAAAGCCAATCAGGTAGAAAGACATTATCTTCTTCTTATTTTATTTTAATATTTTATTTTTAGCCAGGATTGAAAAGTCGAAAGACTATTATTTTCATGTTTTCTTTTTATTTTGCATCCTGCAGCTGCAGACAAGTATGGAAGCCAACAGAATGCTGCTGCAGTCCGTTTCTCCACGTTTCTCCTTCAGACAATCCAAAGAGAAGAAATCCAGCTCAAAGGTAACGACCTCTAATGGACGGCTCACGGTGTTTGTCATGTTTGCACTTCAAGAGAGCAATTGTCGTAATTAATCCAGTGCTGTAAAATAAAAAGGATACCATATACTTGTAAATCTAATGGAAAGATTGGTCTTTTTTATTGCATTTTAAGTAATGAGTTTTATAGGAACAGATTATTGTTTTCTTTGGAGATCCACCTATGAGGGAACCGTATCTCTTTTTTATTTCCAGTTCATTCAGACCAACTGTAACATCAATAGCATTGAAAATATTAAAGGTTTTGATGTTTAAATGCATACATAATAACTATTTTATTAATTCTTTTTAGTCTTGCTGGAGGTGGCACCTTGTACATGTATTATAAACATAAAAAAGACAAAAAAAAGAAAGAAATTGCTTTTGGTAACATTTGTTATTTAAGCAATTTAATGAAAACATTTTTAATGGGAGCATTGTAGATTTTTTTTTTTGTTTAAATGTTGTAAGTTCCAAACTTTCCAAAAATACATTTAAAAAAGCACACAGACACTTCACCACTCATTCAATTAAAAGCTATTAAACCTGCAGTATGCAGCTTTTATAAAAACATGTTTTTTTTACATATTTGTTAAAATTGTCACCATGTCGTGACATATGAGACAGAAAATCTGTGAAAGAAAAAAATCCAGCTCCTTTGCTGCCTCCCAGTGCTACCATTGACATCTGCAGAAATGCACCGCTCCCGGTCAAAAACTACCATTCAAAGCCTGAGGGAAGAGCTTAGTGTTGTCAATCATGCTGGTGTACACACTGTTCAATGTGCTAATGGTGGATAAGCAACCTACTGTTGCATACAAATTGCTTATCCGCTGTCATCGGTGGCCTGAGCTACTCACTCTGCTATCGGGAAGACGCTGTAGTGTAGCGGAGAGCAAAAGGAGGGGAGTGTGAGCGGCATGTACACAGGCATGCGTGACAGCGCTAAGACCCTCCTCCTGGCTCTGATTAATTGTTTCTAGGGAAGGCAGAGGAGTTTATTTTTTCACAGATTATCTGTCGTATAATACTGTCACAACAGTTTTAACAAATATGTGGAAAGCACTTTTTTAATAAAAGTTAGATGTTAAAGTTGCTGTCATGATTTGTGTCCCTTTTTCTCTCTTTTTTTTGCTAAATCATTGCTAATTTTTTTATTTACTTTTTTCCACAGCAACCTTCTCCAAAACACACAGAGCCTCACTACAGACTGAGCCTGAGAGACATACCATTCGTCACTGGAACGGTACCATTTGCACTCATACACTTATGGTTGTGCCCTTTGAAGCACGGTGATAAATCCTCCTCACTCTCCCCCTCAGTGTTTATCTTTAAATCTCTTCCGGTTTCCAGTCGGTCGCCTGCAGCCACTCGGTCAGAGCCAACGTTCAGGCAGTCTTGTCCCTCCTGAAGCGGCACCAGCCTCACCTCTGCAACAAACGCGTCCTGTCTCACAACGCAGACCACTCCGAAACGAGCAGCCAGTCAGACACTTCCTCCTCCTCCTCCTCGTCCACTTGCGGAGACGAACTGTCGGAGCTGCTGCAAGCCCTGCAGGAGGAGCTGTACCTCATGAGCTTGTGAGCGAGCTTGTAAATGTACTCGATTTCGGAGTCTCGTTTGGTTAAATGTTAAGGCGCGTCCTCGTCGCACACAGGGAGCACGGTGAGTTGATGAAGCAAATGGAAGAGAGCGCCTCTGAAAAGGAAAGGGGAGCGCTTCAGAGGGAGCAGGACAGGCTGCTGCTGAGGATGGAGAGTAAAGAAGAACAGATCAGTAAGCTCTGCAAGCACAAATCACAGGTGAGCCTTCGCAATAATTATCATTTTACATCCGTAGTGTGGCAAAAATCGGTGTACGAGTGGCTTGTTTGTGCTCCAGATAAAGAAGTTAAGAAAGAAGCTGAAGTCTGAGAACAACAGTCGAGCTGAAGAAAGACTCGCCACCAGAGGGCGCTCTGAAGCGCCAACTAAAGCTCAACTCGCTGAGAGAAACAAGAGGAACCTGACGCTTCTGAGGGATATGAGAGCTCTGCAGAACTCTTTACAGACCTGAAACTCACTTACAATATATTCATAACATAATCTGTTTACTGCTTTTGGTGCTATTCTTCTACCTCTGACTATTCTAGTTCTTAACTGAATCTGCCTGGAGCTGAAAACCCACTACACACAACAGGAAGATTCACTGCTTTCATCTTCTTTATGAGGTTATTGGTACCTCGGCAGTCGGATTTTCTGAGTTCTTACTTAGTACTAGAACAAGGACATCGACTAAAGTCAAAAGTCCAACAAGGGACGTCCAAGGTCTTCAAGTGGCCTTCAGTTTAGTGTCTGAGGTGGCTGCCATTCACATAGAATATCATGAAAGTTGCCTGTTGCTAAATAATTTATGATTTTTAAATTACATTCCTTAGTTTGTGCTATGATCAGGTTCTTCTTTTTAAAATGTAGCGTTTTATTGAAACGGAAACTGAATATTTCCATGGAGCGTCTTCAGCTTCCCTCTCTCTGACCAGCAGAGGGTGGGAAAGTGTAGCGACGCACTTCCAGATTGATTTTTGATGTACAAGGGTGAAGCAAACTAAGAGTGCTTTGATTTTTTACATTTTCTTTAAACAGAGTATAAGATATATATATATGTATATAGACAGTTTCAGATATCTCTTGTCTTCAATTAAATTCATAATTACTCAAAACCTATAAAGAAGAGCTGGACATATCGTTCTCTCATATTAAATAAAACTATCAACATCAGCTCTCAGAAGACGAGTTGTCGTTTTTATCTTTTTATTATACTTGGAGTACAGTTGTGGAAGACTTGCAATACTTTCTTTTAAGCATACAGTCCGTAGCGAAAGCATTCCACTTGGATTTTCTTCACATTTTATGCGATGGACCAAAAAAAAAAAAAAAAACAGTAATTAATTAGTATAACACAGTATACATAAGAACCTGAAGGAAATGAAAACCATGTTTCCGCTGCTGTAAGTTTAAACGTTTTCACGAGAATTAATTTATGTTTCAGATTGAAAGGGCCTGAATGCCACACATTTATTTTTTTTTTTTGTCAGATATTTTGAAACCATGTTTCATTTTTTTTCATATATTTATCTAAGTTGGTCTATTTAAATTCACCAAAATTTGTCGTCAAAGCGCAAAATGTGTTAAATTTGAAGGCGAATCAACTGTCAGTGATCTGCTGAACTTCGGAGCAAATGTACCAGATAGCCGTCCTTGCTCCAGTTCCTCAGTCCAGCAGAAGCAGCTGTAAACTGGGCTTTAACAGGTGCAACACTATGAACTCCATACATTAGATTGCTTATTCTGCTTTTGAGTTTGACAGTGCAGCTTTACTTGTAACTCATTCACTAGACATCCTGAAAAATAACCATTTCCACTTGGGGAAAATGTGTACTTTTGTACCAGTGTTAATTTTGATTGTGTTTCATTTTAAACAACTAAAAAAAAGTTTCTTTTTTTTTTTAATTAAAACACGTTAGCAAATGTTTATCTCATTGCTGTGTAAAAGAGTTCATAAGAGGACACCGATAGATCTTGTCCATGCAAAAGTTGACCACATCATCACATAGACCACGTGGCTGCTTAATCAGACGGTAAAAACTGATATTTCATGTGTTATTTTTTTTTTTTTTAGATTTTAACGAGGAGAATGTGTGGTTGTGAGTCATCGGGTATTGTTGCTAAATAAACCTGAATACGGACACATGTCGTCGGTGATGCCTTTAATTCCCTTTTTTTTTATTTTTTTATTTTTTTTTTTACACGGGTTACAAATACAAATCCTCCAGTTTGACTCGGGGTTGTGGATATGCATTTCAGTGCGCCTTGTTAAGAGAACAAGAAGATGAATAAATGATGACAGTGACGTGGCTCGCACGCACTGAGTCAGCGACCACGGCTGAGTCTGAAAAGGCGGCTGCCACATGTGTCACCCTGAAACCACAGCCCGGGCCGGGAGAGGAGTCCGGACACCCGATCCTCCGTTCAGAGAGAGGCCCCCGCGTCTCATCCCTGTTGACCAGGCATAGATTGCCACGGCCAAATGAAAAGAACACCTGTAATCAGAGACTCCAGTTTGTTGGTCAGGTGTGATAAAAAATCGGTCTGCTTGCTTACTCAATCTAAATTGACCTAGTTAGGAAGGGAAGAAGAAGAAAAGAAAAAAACTCAGATGAGGATGAAAAGTTCCAGTTTATATCTTCAACCTGTTTCATTAATATGTCCAAAGTCTTTTAAAAAATGTTTGTTTGCTTTTTTTCTCAGGACTCGGTCTCGGCTATGGAAGCCAGACCGGTGATTTTGGGCTCCTCTTGGTGTTTGGTCAGAACAGGTCGACTGGTGTAAATGTCGTCAACGGGCAGCAGGAAGGTTACGGTTTTTACCTTGGCCCTATAGGGAAAACCAAACGAAAGGAATTATTTCACCTCAGTCAGAAAGCGGTCACCGATTTAACGCCACCCCTTAAAAGAATGTCTCCGTACCTGTTTTTATGGACGTACTCCTGCAATGAGTGGCGGTTGTTGGCTTTCTCTGCTTCTCCAAACACGTCGCTGTCATGCCGGATTTCTTCGTGAAGTCTGTCCCATCCTGAGTTGCTCTGCCTGTTCTTGTCGACCCTTCCCTCTCTCACTGTCAACCCGGAGAGGTTGGAGCTCGTAGAGTACCTTCGCACAGTCATGGCAGTGTTTTCTAGAAAAAAAAAAAGAAAAAAAGAAAAGTGAAGCTAAACCTTTTAAAATCCAGTTGTTTTTTTTTTTAATTTCACACACCATTAGTTATTTAGTAATCACATTACTTATATTCTTTAGTCATGAATATTGTAAACCTGACTAACATGATAAGAAAAATGCATCTCAGGTAAAAAAGAAAGAAAATGCTCTAATAAAGTTGTGTGGTAGATTAATCAAAATAAAAATCACCCAACATGGACATGACAATATTGGAGGAAGAATTCACTATTTATTCCAATATATGAATGCTTGTATTCTGTACGGAGAATTGATGGGATGAGGGATGGAGCTAAATTACGGGGCATCCCTGAAGGAAACATGTTGTGCTGCAAAAGACTTACGACTTGAAATTTCTCCTTTATCAGGAGATCAAGCACTAGTGATTAGAAAGACGGATTAAATCAAATCATATTCATGTCTTAGAGTGGTCCAGGCCTAAATTCATTTGTATTAATTAATTTACTTTAGTGAATTTTCCTTAAAAGAAAAAAAATATAACAATGATAATAAAAACCCTACTTGGTGTGTTAAAATAGTCAATGTCCGGCCCAAAAATAACAATTTCGCAGACGCTAAGCTAACAGATAAGTACCGGCAAGTGCAATCAGCAATGTTTCTTTTCCAAGTTATGTGTGCAAAATATTCGTCTGTCCCTTATTTTCAGTCATAAAAAAAGGGGGAAAAAAGCTTTGGTCAAATAGACAAAACAATGAAGCCAAAGCCTAATCCCATCATTATTGTCATTATTTATAATATTTACAACTACTATTGTAGCTGAAAGGTAATACAGAACATACTATTTTGCGTATTTCTGCACACTTGCTATTCTTACCTTTGTACTGTCCCTCCAGGACTGGCGCAGACGCATTCCGTCTCAAGTTCCCGTAGGGGTTTTCCAGTATCGCGGGTTGCTCAGTTCCAGCGCTGGTTTCTCCCGCCGTCCCTGCACGCTGACCACCACAGTCCCCACGCAGCTCTCTGTTTTCCGCCTCCAGCTTCTTGATTTCGTCGCGCATCTCCATGATGACCTGCGCCAGGCTGCGGCTGCTCTCCATGGTGCTGCTGCTGCGCTGCCAGAACCAGGGCTTCCCGAAGACCGGAGGAGGGTCGTGCAGGAGGGGCTCGCCTTGCTGCTGCGGGTTCATCATGCTGCCTCCAGGAGACTTATGCGGTTCCTCCAGAGATGAGCGTCTCTCTCCAGGCCCCTCTCTGTGTGCGTTTCTCAATCTCAGTCCAGATCTTAATGTGGGCAGATTATGTCGCCTTTCACCACTTATACAGCTGAAAGAGCTCCGGTGATCAGCCGCCACCGCACAGGGGATCTTTTATTTATGAGCCCCGGGAGTCTAGTTTCATGAAAGCCAAGCTAGGGGTCGGAAATGAAATGTGCTCTTCACAATAGCTTTAATTGGAGACCTACTGGCGCCCCCAATAGGGGGCACTGGAAAAAAAAAAAAGTGCTGACCATCCCACTGCCCCCCTCACCCCACTACAGAGAATCATGTTCAGCCCAAACACATACATACGTCTTCTTCAATCAATACATTCATGTAAAAACCTAGTAATTATTTGTATGTTAGTTGTGCCACTTTGAAATTTTTAGTTGCTTGTTGTGGCCACAATAGAAAAGAAAAATTCTGGGGTGTCATTCAACCCAAACCAGAAGAGTTTGCTGCTCTTCTGATTGGTTATTATGCTTGTTTGTTTTGTTCATCATCAAACAAGTGCATTTCAGGAGGCATCAGAGCAAATTAGGAGGGGATTTTGGAAGCAGAAGGATAAGATTTTTCAAAGATTAAAAAAATAAATAAATTTGATGGATTCGTCGCATCCATCCGAGCTCCCTGTGAAATCACCTAATTAATTGCAATTTATTGGGTGGCTGTTATCCGTTAATTGAAACTGTAGTGAGGAAGTCGCCTAATGAATTATAATTTCAAGGGTCATGACAACCAAAAAGAAAAAAAAGAAAAAAAAAAAACACATCATGATGCTGTGAGGATGTTTTCCTTCAGCAGGGAAACTGGTCAGAGTTGATGGGAAGATGAATGGAGCTAAACACAGGAAAGTCCTGAAAGAAATTATTCTTTATAGAATTATTTTTTTTTAAAGAAAATTGGAAATCATTTATTATTTTTTCCATTCAATTCCCAATTATTATCTACTTTGTGTTCATCTGTCAGAGCGGCCTGCAATCTAGGGCTCCAGAGCCAAACTCTCAATGTCTCTTCATATATTCGTCTCAAAATGATAAAGAACCAATTTTGTTTTTAAATCTAGATAAGAAATGCAGGTTTTTGCCTTTGCAAAAAAAAA